GGCCATCACCTCCCCCCTGCTGAACAGGGGCCAGTATCTCATCATGCATCTTGCGACATCCTGAGTCATCTCTGCCTTCTCTCCTGTTCCCCTTCCTGCCCAGTTCTCCTGCGCCAGTAAAGAAATGGTCAAGAGACCTCGTTAAGATTCACAAAGGCAGCACAGAGAAGTTGGAGCGAAGCTGAAGCAAGCAATTCCCTTTGATATGTAGACAAGTTGGGATACAGAATTCCTGGCTGTCAGATGCTGTACTGCTGCACTGCGTCACCTGGTGCTGGTTTCCGTGCTTCCCCGGCAGGGAGGTGCTCCGTCCTGCGTTTGAGACCTGGTTTTGAAGGCGATCTTTTAAAAGCCCTAGTTAAAATTTGATGTGCTTAAAAACTTCCTTACAGCTCCAAGACTAACAAGATCCTGCTGGGAGTGGATTTTTCTGCACAAGCTGCTCCTTTTGTCGACGCGAGTCTCGCAGCCCTGACACCTGGTTGAAGAATTGATGTTAGAAAAGGTGAAGTCAAAGCCCAAAATGCTCTTTGGGAGCAGTGGGTTGGATATTTCCACCTGCAGGTTAAAAGCAGTGCTGCTGGTAGGCACTGCTGAAAAGACAACCTGTTCTTTGGGTTAGCTCCCTCTGCAAGCTCCTGGTGCAAAGGCAGCTTCTGATGTAGCTGTTCAGTTCCCTGGGTCCTTCCCAGCTGGACCCAGGTGCTGAAGAGTTCGGGTGGACACAACAGGAGATGAGGGCATCTTTGGGAAAACCGTGAAGCGGTGACCCTGCTGGTTTTCTTGCTTTGCTTTGTTTTCCTTTCTCCTGTTCTAAAATGGAGTTAGTTGTTTATGGCTGAACATACTCCTGTTTGCTTATCTGCTCCTTTCAATCTCGCTGGGGGTTGGAAGTTGTGCTGGGAATTTTGTCTGACTCACACAGGAGTGATTCACGAGGTGGAGCTGGTGTCTGATGTGAAGCAGGATAGACTCCGACTTCCCCTCAGCTCTGCTAACGTGAAAACCTACCTGCGTTTATCCAGTGGCTAGGCAAGGCTTTGAATACAGCAAGAAGATCCAACTGATTTCGTAGTTTGCAGCTGTATGTCCTAGAGCATCCTTCGAAATCTGCTCCTGGCGCTGTACAAGAGTTGGTACCCGTCCCTAGAGGGGGTTAGCTGAGCCTGGCCTACCGCTGCCTGCGGAGGTAGGGGTGGACTTGGAACATCTCCGTGACCTTCAAGCCAACTTCTCCATGACAAGCTGAAACATTTTGCCCCTCTCTTGGCTTTCCCGTATTAAACCAGGAGAGGAGGAACCCCAGGTATGACGGTGTACTGATACTTCTCTCTCTCCTTTGCTGTTAATTCCAACACCCCTCCTGCGTGTCCTGCTGCAGCACCGCAGGGTTTCGAAGCCCAAGTCTCTGCCCTGCTCTCTGAGCTCTGCTGTCACACTAAATCCTGGTGAACTTCTCCCATCGCGCCCAATTCCCAGTACAATGAAGCTGAACAAAAGCTTGTGCCAAAGCGAATAGCTGTCTTAGCGTGGGTTGGTTTGGAGCTTTGCTCTGTTGGTTTTAGAGCCGTTGTGCTCCAGCTCCCAGCCTTTAATTCGCCACAGCCGAAATACTGTGACCCTATGCAACACAGAGGGTGTAAACTAAAGACTGCGAAGAGGAAAACGTGTGCCTGGCTTTTCTTTTAATTTTTTTTTTTATGATAAAGCTTCTCTGGGGACACACTCAAAACTACAAGGTACCGAAGCAGGGAGGCGACTTGTTTTCAAGAGGAAAGTTACACTGAGGGTGAGCTTAGGGCTGAAATGGTGGGGTGTAGAGAGAGGTATATAATTTCAGTTGGATGGTGGAAAATGTGGTCAGCCCAGCTTGCCATACGTGGAAGCAGCCCGTAAGCAGAAGTCTTAAAGCAGGGTGGGGTGATGCTTTCTCCAAGGACTCTGAGGCATTGCAAGGGCGCTGGGTTGAAAGTTTATCTGGGCACTGCATCATGCAGGAATAGGAAGTTTCTTGGGGGGAGTGCGATCCGCAGGGAGCTTCTTGGCTCAGCACCAGTTCCGGACCATAACTGCATGGCTTGCATATACAGTTTCCACGTATACCGAACAACTTGTGGTAAACTGGCAGCGTGGGCTCCAGGGGGTGCTTGTAGCGTTCCTGGGTGAAGTCACAGAGCAGACTAAAACCACGGAAAACCTGTCTGTCACGGAGGACAGGCAATCCCTGTCCCAGGGAGCTGGCTCGGGGTGGGATGAAGGTGTAGGATTGCGAGATTTGATGAGCTTGGCTTTGGGTGCCTGGCTCCCCAGGGTGCAGAGGGAGGTGCTGGTTGAAAGACGGGGTAGCAAATAAAAGCAAACCCTTTGCCTATCATAAGCTCTGGGAGTCTGGGTGCTGAATTTGAAGGGGTTGCAGACATCGAGCCCACAGGGATGCTCCGGGGCAGCTCCAGTTTCCTCCATCCCACTGACTGGACCTGTCCTGCCTCCTTCCCTGCCCTGTAATGCATGAAGAAACACCTCCTTGGCATCCTGCCCTGCGTCGGGCATCAGGTGGCATGTTAAGCTCCTGGGTATGCTAATTAAACACATTTAAAGAGATGCTCTGAGCTGTGACAGTGACAGTGCTCGTGCTCCTGCCGCTCCAGGTGCTGCAGGCTTGGCCCTTGCACACCCAGCAGTGGTGATAAATGGGGGATTTGCAAAAGCAAGAGGCAGGATGGGGAGTTTTCAGGTTACAGCTTGGTTTCGGGTGGTTGTGGCCGTATTACCAAGTGATCCCCCACTGCCTGCTGTATTTGTTGATAGTGTGAGCATGTGTTAGCTTGGCCTGGCAAGATTTGCCCTGGGGAGGAGAGGAGAAGCCCCGAGTCCTGCTGTTTTCCCTCTGCTCCCCATCCCTTCCCGGCTGCAGGCTGAAATCCGGCGGCTGTAAAGGGGGGGTGAAAAAAAAATCTTGGCGAGATCAGAGGATAAAAGTTGCTGTGCTGGGGACCTGAAAAGAGGTCCAGTTAAATTGGTGTGGGAAGATTAATGGTGTTTTTTCTTTTATTTTTCTGTCTTTAAAGCCGGTGGAGGCGGGGGGGACGCGAGTTTGCTTTTCACACCGTGTGTGTCTGGGGCTCGGCCAGCCTTGCTGCTGATCACTCTTGGCTCCGGGACTGCCTGCCCGTGCTGGCCTCCCTTCCCCTGGCTGCAGCTAAAAGGTTTGGAGGGAGGGAAAAAAAAAAAAACAAACAAACAAACAACAAAATAAATGAAGCCCTTTGGGGAAACTTTGGTGCACGCTGCAGCAGCAAGGGGCTTCATTTGAGTGGTGGAGCAGGAGAAAGCACCCAGCAGCATCCTCAGCTCTCCTGGTTAATACTGGGTTGCTCTTCCACCCTCCCTGCCTTGCCAGTCCCTGGTAATGCCGTGGGGTTTTCCACAGCCTCCTTGATCTTGGTCCACTTCGAAGAAGTGCTTTGCAACCCTTAACCCTCTTGTTTTCCATCTTCGGCTAAATTTCCATCTTCTCCTTGCCAAGAATAACCTTGTCCCTGGTGTTGTGTGCCCCATTTCATTGCCTGGGGAATACCCACCCTCTGGGACATCCAGGGCAGCCCGTAAGCACCTCCTTGCTGCACGCAGGCATTTTAATCTTGTAACTTTTTTTTTATGTTTAAAAAAAAAAAAAATTTCTCCATAAGTACCAGCAAGGACAGCATCTTCAGGAGCTCGGTCCGTATCCTTGCCATCGCATGTGCCCCAGAAGCTGCTGCTGCAGCCTGCCCTGGTGTCCTGGAGCTGTAGGGTACCAAGTCTCGCTCCCCAAGGGTCCGCAGCAGATTTGGGGTCACCTCCCCGTCCTCTGTAACACGTCAGGCCCAGCCCAGTGTTTTGGCCAGAGGCAATTTTCCCCCAGGAGCATCAGGGCGATGCTTTGCACACAGGAGGTGCATCTCATCCGGCACACACCATTCAGGGGCTGCTTGTCCCCCGTGCCACCGCCAGCAGAGCTGGTCTCAGCTCCGTTCAACCAGAACAAGCGGCAAATTAACCTGACCTAGATCTAGAGAAGCCGGAGAGACCGACAGTTTTGTATGCCCTCAAAATCTGTGCTCTGGAGGCAATACAGGGAGAAATCTTGCCTATTCCCAGGGAGGAGAAATAGCTGCTTATTTATAACTGTCTGATAACATGCTTCTCGTCCCCTCGACCATGCAAAGAGCTCACCCTCTTCCGTGCTGCTCTTTGTCCCCATGCCGGGAACGGCTTGCGACAGCGACTGGGTCTCCCCATCCATCCTCGTGCTGCTTTCCCTGCTCCTTCTAATTCACCCTAACCAGCCCCACGCTCGCCCGGAGCAGGGACACACCACCCCACAGCTCATCGGTGCTGGGAAACCTTCACAGAAATCCCTTCTGGGCCAGGAAAACATCCTTGGTGGCTACTCCTCTGGGCTGGCCATTGGGATCATGTCCTTGCCCAGCAACTGGGAATGGCTCTGGCCCTTGTCCTCCAGCACTGTTGGGTCCAACGGCCGCTCTGCTCCTGACGGATGGGACCAGCTCGCTCCTGGCGCAGCCGGCCCGTTGCCATGGCAATGGCAGGATATTGCTTTCTTACAGCCTCCTCGCTCGCACAAAGCCAAGCCGCTGGTTCCAGCTTTGCTTAGCGCAGGGATGTGCAACGCATACCAAGCGGTCCTGGCTTTCCTCCGGCTGGGAACCCGTTCTGGAGCATGCGGGGAAGAAGCAGCAGGAACTGGAGCTCCCTGTCGCTTTCCCACGGCTGGAAAACCCCAGGTCTTTGCGGCTGCCTGCTCTTCCTCTTCTTCCAAGTGCTTGTGTACCCATCCCTCTTGGTTCTTATTTCTTCCGTGTTTTTTGATTGCAAAATTCAGCCCATGCTGCTTTTTTCCACCTCCTGCCTGTAACCCACACAGCTGGCTTGGGGGGGAACACCCCTTAACCTCTGCACAGCTGGAGGGGTCGAGCCATGCCCTCAGTGGTGCTGATCGCTGCTGCCCAGGCGGCATCTTGAGCCCACACAGCATCTCAGAAGATGAGGCTCAGCACATGGCTCTAGGAGGTTGCATTAAGGATCCGATCTCATGGGATAAGACATGGCTCTATATGCTTTGGGAGGCAGCACAGGTGATTTTTGCCCAGCCCAGGGTCTTGGTCCTGTTTCCTGATGCTGTGGGAGCTGCTGGTGAAGTCTCTGCTGGATGATAACCCAGCTGCCGGGCTTGATGTGGGCATCGGGGCAGGAGCGAAGGCAGCAGGGTCGCAATCGCGAGTGGCTGGGTCGTGCCGTACATCAGCCACATATAGCTAGTTGTGTTGGGTTTGGCAAAATCAGTAGTGTGAATGGGAGTCCTGCTTCTCACCCACCTGCCAGCCCCGGTAGCCAAGCCCTGAGTCTCTTTGCCAATTTTTGCCAAAGACAGTGAGACTTGAAAACCTCCACGGGTGTTATTTCCCCAGCTGTGAGAGCTTGAGACCCAAATTAGTGCCTTCCCCTGCTCCAAGGTTTCAAGTTCAGCTGAGCCACATGATTAGCCACTAGAGAATCTACATAGGGCTTCAGGAGACCAGGCATCGTGAGCTCTGCTCAGGGGCATCCTCCGCTTGAAACAAAATGCTGCCAACATCGCTTTATCTGAGCCACTGATGCTCGAATGCCAGGCGGAGAGCGAGAACCAGGATCTTTCCTCTGCCAGGGACCACAGGCCCCCTTCCCTGGAAGGGGATGAAGGCTGGTGATGGCAGTGACCTCCTGTGCTGGCAACGAGGTCCCATCCTTGACAGCATCACAGAGGCACCATATTCTTTAGGGACAGCAGTACAAGTTGTTATCTTTTTTTATTTTTTTTTTAACAACTCCCCTGGGAAGCCACAGACTGAGATTTAATTGTGTTTATAGGCACAGGGTCTTCCCAAGCGTGTTGGAACCTCGTGGTACCTGGAGCAGGCTCCTTTCCCTCGACCACCTCGGGACCGAAGCCCAGACACCACGCTGCCTGCTCAAAGGCTGCCAGGGGCTTGAAAATCAGCCCTAATTAAAAAAAACAAACAAAAAAACCACAACCAAAAAAAAAAAACCAACCCAGCTTAAGATATCTGTGTAACAGAAAAACCCAAGAACTCCTCTTTCTGATTTTCGGTGGTCATATTTTCAAGTTCTGCATGATCAAAAAAAAGATGTCATTGGCTTTTTTTTTTTTTCCCCCCGCAGGGGTAAGGGATTTTTTGGTATCTCAGAAGCTAAAATTCCCAGAGAACTGCAGCTCCTTAGAAAGATGCCTTGTGAGAACATGTGGAAAGCCTGGGATGCTGTGCTGGTGGGCCAGGGGTGGTCGGGGATGTGCCATGCTGATGAATTAGATGTGGCAATCGGCCCTTTTTGGCAGCTTTTCTGCTCCGCACAGCCCTGCTACGCTCAGAGCATTGGGGACAGCTGATGAAACATCCTAGACCCAAGGACATTTGAATGAAGAGGGACCCAAAATAGCCTGAGACATGAGAAGGGTTGAGGACAAAAAAAAAAAACCCACCCTGTAATAACTTCTCTAGAAATGCTATAAATAGACTAATTTGGTGACTTCTGGAAGGAAAGAGCTATGAAATATGAATGGCACCTCTGCCTTGACGTCCCGAGTGCAGGCAGCCGAGCCTGCTTGGGGATGTGGGGGGAGTGGGCAGGCAGGGTGGGGTTTGCCCCCGAGGGCATCCCCATGCTCTTGCTGGCGTTGTCCCAAATCTGTGGTTACGAAGGAGAGGGGGGGAAGCAAAACCCAGACCTCCTCAAAGTGAGAAGAGGGAGAAGCAAGCCCTGCTCCTGGTTGCGTAAATTTGGTTTAATTTCACATGCTCCCTTGGGACTCACCAAGCAGAAATGGGGGGGTGGTGGTTTCTTCCCTTTTCTCTTTCCTGCCCCATCCCCTCTGCAATCATTTGAAATATCCACTTTGAACTTCATAGGTAGCCCTCTTTTCCCTACGCCTTTCTTAATGTGCAGGGGTTAGGCGTTTGTTTCCCATCCCACCCTCTGTGGCCATGGGTTTGGAAAGGAAAGCTCACCCCGCCGGCTGCCTCCACCCCTCAGCATGCTCACTCCGCACCATCCCTCTCTCCGCAGGTTATCCTGAAGGACCTGGAAGTACTGGCCGAGATCGCTTCTTCCCCAGCGGGACAGACAGAAGGTCATGGTCCCTCCGACGGCTCCGACGTGCGACCTGGCCCTGTGGAGCTTCACGTCCCGGCCAGGGCCGGCCAGCTGAGTGCCTCCGGTGAGTGCCCTTTTTACCGCAGCTGTGTGCCTCCCTTCTCCCTGGGCTCATTCAATGCTCGCTGGCACTGGTCAGATTTGCTTGAACAAAAGGAGAAGCCTCTCTTGCAGTAATACATCAATATATCCATCCCCACCAGCATAGTTTTGGGATCAAGTCTGCCATGGCGCAGACCAAGGCACTGCTTTTATGTTTATTGCTCTTTCCTCTAGCTCATGTTTTGACAATTTAGGACTCCGTTTAGTAGCAGGATGCTGTAGAGGCCGGTGTGGAGGTCGTTATTGTCCTATTTTTTTATGGGATCTTTGGTACCAGCCTCTTCTCTCCTTGTAAAAGCCCTTAAAGCCTCTAAAAGTGTCTTGAGATGGGATGTTGACTGCAGGCCCAGGTGCCCAAAACATAAGATACATCTGCAGAGGGTTCGGTCTGTGCCCATGTTTTCTGTTCAAGGCTGCCCGCGTTGACTGTGAATTGCTACGGTGCTCTGAGTGTCAGGTAGAACCTCAGAAGAGGGATGAAGAGGGAGAACCTGATTTTCTAGGGACTTGGGGGATAGAAAAAAAAAAACATCTTTCTGTAATTATCCTGCCACACTGGGAAGTTTTTTCCACCTTCTCTTGTCTGTGGCTTATCCCTTGCAGTTACTTGGCTGTCTCTTCTCCGCTGCTGCTGCTGCTATTTAAGGGCCTCCCTCTTGTACTCCTCAGGCCAGGTCGTCCCAGCCAAAAGCACGTTTCACGGCAGCTTTGGATTGCAACCGGAGTGCGGAGCCAAGGCTGCCTCTCCCTGCGCAGGATGCGGCCACGGGGCCTTGCAAAATCACTGCTGGAGAGGGCGGCTCTGTTTTCCACTCCCCAGGGTTTTGTTTTTTCAGAAGATCCCACATCACTCACCCCCTCCCTGACCTTAGAAATATCTGCGTCAGCAACCAGCTCAGGTTTTGGGTTGTTTGGTGTGGGTTTTGTTGGTTTGTTTGGGTTTTTTTCAGATCTACCTGTTTCGTGCTGGCAGCTTTAGCTCTACAACAGAGGGGTGGGGGCTGAAATGCTGGTGACCTCCCCAAGCCCTCCTCAAGTCTCATCCATCCTCCCCACGTTAAAAGTGAGACCGCCTGGGTGGAGCAGCTCCTGCGGCGCTGGCCAAGCAGCCGAGGAGCTGTAGTTCAGCTCACACTGATGGTTGTCTGAGGTTTCCTTCCTTGTGGATAATCTAAAAATAGCAGGCTGGATGGCGTGGATCCTAACGGCTGCCGTGGCCCCTGTTAGCTCTCTGGAAGAACAACTTGGCTTCGCTTATTCAAGCGTAATGTTTGAAAAGAGTCTGGCTCTCCCCACATTGAGCAGATCTGCTGGAGCCGGAGCTCCCGTTGCCCCGGCATGGGGCAACTTGCCCCCACGCGAGTTCTAACAGGCTTTGGCTTCCTCGCCTACTTTCCTCTTCCTTGTAATGCACCAGAAAATTGTTTCTTTGGAAATATATTTGGGGCTGAGCTTTGCAGGGTCGTTGGCTTTTACCCAAAAGTGTAGATGTTTTTGGGGAGGGGAAAACGAACCGGTTCGTTGGCCTTGGAAGTTTAACATGGCCCCAGTCCCGTCTGGCTCTGACCACCCAGGGCTGAGACTGGATCAGCTGCTGGCCTCCGGCTCCCAGGGGAATTGAGGGGTCACAGCTGGGCCACCCTCCTGGATTACGCCAGGAAAAGCAGAGGCTCTTGGAAAAGATTCTTTTTGTCAGAGGGTTGTTTGGGGGGGGGGGGGGGTGTGTGTGCTTTTTTTGGGATCAGGAAGGTGGCTAGTGGAAATCCCTATGTCCGTGCGTGGTCCTGGGGCAGTGATGTATGGTGAGAGCGAGTGAACCCAAACTGTACCCTGAAGGCTGATGTGTTGTGAGTGCAGCCCTTCCCAAGGCAAAACCATGAGGTGTTGGCACAGAGAAGAGGGTGCACCCCTTTCTGGGGTCACTGGTTTTGTACTGGGGTGTATGGCGGTGTTCCCTAAGCACACCTCCCCAGCTAGCACGCCTTGGCTCAGACAGTGCTTCATTGGCAGTAGGATGCTATTGCAGCATCGGAGAGGAGGCTGCAGGGTACCAGCACTTCTCCCCGGGCTTAAATCTCTCCATTCCCTTCATCCCACTTTAGACCGAGATGCCATCAGAGCTGGCAGTGGGAGTAGAGCTGCTGAGCTCCTCTCCTACCTCTGAGGCCTGTCCAAGTGTGCGGTTGGTGGCTTTGCAGGTAAACGAGCATGGACACCCCTTAATATCCTTGAGCTGACAGCAGGTTTCCATGCTGCGCTCTCCGTCTCGGCACTCCAGGCTTTGCCACCCAAACGGCGAGGGCAGGAGGGGAGGTGGAAGGGGCCGGTGCCTCCGTGGTCTTTCCCCCCTGCTTCCTCTCGCTCCCTTTCTTCCCTCGGGATGTGTTTACGCAGTTGTTTCCCTGCCATTGAGTTCAGTTTCCTTCAGAAGCTGGTTGATTAATCAGGAAAGCCGTGTCCCACTTCCGCAGCCCGTTCCCAGCTCCAGTTTTTATTTAGCCGCTTTGTTCTCCCGTTACGTAAGGTCAGCTGCCCTCGACGCCTTCTCCAAACACAATGAGCTGGGGCCAGCCCTGCTCAGCAATGCCTGGGAGACCCAGCATCTCTCCTCCCGACCTGTTCCGGCTGCCCTGGGAGAGACTGACTGGGTGCTGACCTCCATGGGTCTCTTCTGCCCGCTTTTCAGGGTCAAGGTCTGCAGGGCTGTGCCCCAAGAGCTTCCCAGTCTTTTGGGCGATGGTGCAAATGCTTGTCTGGTTCACATGATGGGAATCCAGCTGCCTACTTTGCTTTGGGAGTGTTTTCCCAGTTGGGACAAGTAGCAGATGACCCTCTGGGTCATCAGAGATGTTTCACTAGAGATGTCTGTCTGGTGAGACCCCCCTGCAGTACTGCATCCAGCTCTGGGGTCCTCAGCACAAGGACGTGGACCTGTTGGAGTGAGTCCACAGGAGGCCACGGAGATGATCCGAGGGCTGGAGCACCTCCTATGAGGACAGGCTGAGAGAGTTGGGGTTGTTCAGCCGGGAGAAGAGAAGGCTCCGGGGAGACCTTAGAGCAGCCTTCCTGTACCTAAAGGGGGGCTTATAAGAAAGATGGGGACAGAGTTTTTAGTAGGGCCTGCCTGTTGTGACAGGACAAGGGGTAATGGTTTTAAACTCAAAGAGGACAGATTCAGACTAGATATAAGGAAGAAATTTTTTACAACGAGGGTGATGGTGCAACTGGCACAGGTTGCCCTGAGAGGTGGTAGATGCCCCATCCCTGGAACCATTCAAGGTCAGGTTGGACGGGGCTCTGAGCGACCTGATCTTGTTGAAGAAATCCCTGCTCATGGCAGGTGCTTTGGACTAGATGACCTTTAAAAGGTCCCTTCCAACCCAAACCATTTTATGATTCTGTGATAGCATAGGTGCAAGCCCGCCAAATGCAAGCTCTCCAACCTAGTCTCCAGCTCTGCTCTGCGTGGGAGGAGAAAGCCCACTCCGAAAGGATGCCGATACCATCTGCTGCCTCGTACAGGGTACCTCTTGCACACATCTCTTCCTTCCTTTCTCCGCAGCTTTGTAAGGAGAAGCGGTTATGACCCTTTGTTTCACAAGAGGCATTTTCCTCTCCAGCTCGGTCCGATCTCTCCTGCCTGGCTTCCTGACAGAGATGACGGGGATGGTGGCATTACCCTCTGAGCATCTCATACTATAGGATGTTTACCGGGAGGCTGAATCCATACGTGGGTGTGCTAACACGCCTGTGGTCATTGGTTTTCACTGGCAGTCCGTGGATATCCTAGGAATCGGTGGATTACTCTGGAGGAGACTGCTAAAAGTCCCTGAGAAACGTTGTCTGTTGAGTTCAGACTTGCTATATCCCCACTGGAGACCATGCAGCGCTCCAGAGCCTGGACCAAACTTGAGATGTTCTGCGATAGGAGTTTCCTATTGACATCTTTTTGAGGGATTTTGTTCTCAGTGCGCCAAACCACTCCCTTTACTTTGTCTTATCACTTCATTTCTGTAATCATAGATCTGCAGAGGTGACAGTGTAGGACAAGGTCCCACCTCTAGACGGTCTGGAAAACATTAGGGCAGCCTCTGAAAACACCAGGTGAGAGCCTGTAGGGCGCTGGGGATCCGTGAAAGGTAGGAAAGAAAAGGTGGCTCCTTGTCAGACCGCTCAGATTTGCTAAACTGACATTTCGAATGGTAGGGGAGGATAAAAGTGAAACCCCTCCTTCCTCATCCTCTCCGCAAAAGGCAAGGAGACGGCCAACATCACACCAAGGACCACTTGCTCTCGAAGCAGCCAGTTTCCAACAGCGTTCACAGGATCGGGAGTGTGACAGCAGGGAGTGGAGGTGCCAGGCGGGCAAGAGAGGAGAAACCTGTTGCTCCCGAGTGCTCTGAGCAAAACGCTCTGGTTCCTGATGGTCGGTGGCTCTGCTGTCTCCTTCCCTACTGTTATGGAGCTGTTCTGGAGGGTTGACATTCAAAAATGCTCTTCTGCCTCTTGGAGAGGAGCAGAATTAGAAGAAGGGGGTGATTGGTTTCTTTTCCTGGATGCTCTGCAACAATGCTGGGATGCCGTGGAAAACCCCAGGAGAAACCATTCAGACCATAGCTGTAACTCACCTGCCATGCCTTCAGGTGTTGATCCCTCCCTCCAGCACATGGCTGACCAGAAAGGTTGGGGATTCCCGAGTAAAAACTGGCATTACCGATCTGTAGGGGCTGATGCAGGAGAAGTTGATGGTGTAGGTAAGATCACTCCTAGCCACGCACCTCCTGTGTCGTTACTTTGCTGGGCTGCCTCAGTTTCCCCAAGATGTTGCAAGGGATTTGGGGGGGGGGGTGAGGAATGAGACGAAAACAATTAAAACTAGTGAAATGAATAGTGGTGCAGAAATGGCCTGGCAAAGCCCGTCGCTGCTCATTTCTACTTGCAGGTTATCTTCCTTATGCTTCA